AGCAGGCTGTGGAGGCGAGGCCTGTGGATGTGGGTGGGGTCAGCTGCAGGGGGCACTCAGGAGCTAAGCACAGTCCCAGAAAAGGCCCCTGAGCCCACCCACACAGGGACCTCTTCTGCCTGGCAGCTGGGTCACCAGCAGACTGAACAGGAGCTCTGAGGACCAGGCATGGCCCTAGGATTCTAAGCACAGGCAGGTCTGTGGGCTGCTGGGGCTCGGAGCCTCCAGCCGGCACCAAGTGCCACAAGTAGCTGGGGAAGGCTTCTGACAGGCCCTGGGTACTTCTCCTGGCTCTTTGGAGGTCACGGATAGGAAGAATGGCCACACCTGGGGTGCCCACAGGGGCAATGTGCCATGGAGGCTTCTATCAATGAAACCCAACTAAGATCGTCCTTGTGGACATGGCAGACCCGGCCCCACCCGACCCCACTGACCTCCTGTGAGTGGCGAAGCTGTCCAAGTCCGAGTTCCGCACCACCTTCTCATAGGGCACGTTGGCCGTGATGAGGCTGTGGCTGTTGAAGGAGATGTGCCTCACGGCGTGCCTGGGAGTGGGGAGGGGAACGCCTCTGAGGTGGAGCCCATTGCAGAAGAGGGGACAGCGCAGCCTCAAGCGGAGTCTGGACCCCTCAGGCCCTGCTTATCCCTGCAGAGCAGGCTCTCCCTCAGCTCCCACAGCTGMTGACACTTCGTAAACAAATCGGGGAGTCCCACCTGCACTCTGGCTGACATATAAGGACAAACTCAACTTGAGACAAATGGGCAACACAACACGCAGTGGAGACCAGCCCTGTTTTTGCCCCCCTGGCTAGAAGTCCTGGGCAGGCTTCCTGAGCTCTGAGCCGGGTTCCTCATCTGCAGCATGTGGGGACATTTAAGGGTGATCTGTAAGGCTTTAGCCATTTAGTCAGGACTAAAATGACACCTGTGCTCGGGCTGTGACAGCACATTGAGAACATCTTGGCAAGTGATGGCTTCAAGTCTAACGGACTTTCGCTCACTCTAGAAACCTTCTGTAGCACCTGCCGGGCCACAGTGCTAAGCTGGGAGGTGCCTGTGACACCAATGGCTCCCACAGGGGATGGCTGCCCTCAGAAGCTCCTCGCCAGGGGGAAGGTAAGGTGCATTTCCACAGCTCTCAGCCAAGGCCACCGCAGCACAAGAGAAGTGACGGCTTCTGGGAGTAGAACTGACTGAAGCACCTGGGAGGACACTCAGGGCCAAGGGGACACCAGGCCAGCACAGGAGTGGCCTATTCAGGCTGAGCCCAGGATGCTGTGGCAGAGGATGCTCCTGAGTAATAAAACCAAAGGGGGCATCAGAGCCCAGTGAGGGGGACAGAAGGCAAGAGGACGGGGGAGAGAAGGGAGGGCTGAGGCCTGGGGATGTGTCACTAACGGGTGAGGAGGACCCAGAGGCTGGCTGAGGAGTCCGAAGCAGAAGGGGGGACATGAAAGTGACAACTGGACTGCGCTTAGGATGGGCAGAGGGCTCAGGGAGGACGTGGGTGAGTCAGCGGGTTCCAGGCAGGGGACCATGGAGAGGAGGAGGCTCCCTCGTGTGAGAAAAGTCAGTGCTGAGCACTTTAAAGGAACAGCTGGGGCAGCCCATACCTGGGAGACTGGCAGCTGCTGAATGGCCGGTCAAGAGGGGGCAGGGAGCCAACAGCCAGCACAGGCACAGCCAGCTCCAGGAGCTGCCCTCCAGCGCCAGCTCTCAAAACAAACTCCAGGTTTCCCTTAAAGGCAAATGCTTCTGGGAGGCCCATGTAGAACTTTTACTTGCTTTTGGCACCACCTGGTGGCAACAGTGGATCATCACAAAATCAGCAAGGGGCTTGTGCCAGTAGGGAAGGGAGGGAAAGAGACAGAACTGGGTGGTGTTGACACCACCAGGGGCCCTCCTCTGAAAAAGCTGCTAGCCACAGTACTCGCCAGTGCTGCTCTCCACCTCACCTTGCTGTCTGTTTTTTTCTTGAGATCTGGGGACTGGACTCAGGAGTGCTCGACCACTGAGCTATATCCCTGGCCCTGTATGAGATAGGGTCTCACTAAGTTGTCCAGGTTGGCCTTGAYGTTGCAATCCTCCTGCCTCAGTGGCCTGGTTGCTGAATTACAGGCGTGTGTCACCTCACCTACAATGTCTATTTACAGGGTACTGAGTGTGTACCCCTTCCTCTGCTGTGGAGGTGGGAGTGTACTTGGTCAGCTCCAGCTCTGCTTTAAAGGTTAAGAGCAGGCTCACACAAAACCTTTTAACCACTTAGGCACTGTGAATATAAATGTGCCAGCTGGGTGCGGTGGCACACGCCTATAATCCCAGCAGCTTGGGCGGGTTAGGMAGGACGATCATGAGTTCAAAGCCAGCCTCAGCAACAGCAAGGCCCTAATAAGCAACTCAGTGAGACCCTGTCTCTAAAGAAAATTGAAATAGGGCTGGGGATGTGGCTCAGTGGTCGAGTGCCCTGAGTTCAATCCCTGGTACCAAAAAAAAAAGTGTGTGTGACCCTACTGTGTGTACAACCAGAGAAGTGAAAAATTGTGATCCATTTGTGTACAATGAATCAAAGAGCATTCTGCTGTCATGTATACTGATTAGAATAAAAAAAGAAAGAAAGAAAGAAATGGAGATGCCTGGTATGGCATCACAATAGCCTAAAAAAAAAAAAAGAAAAAAGAAATAAAAAGTGCCTACATCCACAAAGCCATAAGCCGGTGCACAGCATAGGATCTACTTCTCTTCAATATTCTCAGTAAAKATTGAAATGAAAACTTGAGGCCGGATCACTTTTAGTCCTAGGTGCCCCCTACACAGTGTGAGGACAGCTCAAGCAACAGGCAGACCCTCTTGCAATCTGACACCCAGGAGTGTGTGCTCCCACCTGCATCCCCCTGCACCTAGTGGGAGCCACATCATGGCCTAGCTGAGCTGGCTTCTGACAGTTCTGAGCTAGCTTTAGTAAGATGGAGGAATTCTAAAACAACCAGAACAGCACTTATGAGAAATCAGTCCTTCTTAGAGAAGCTGGTCCTCTTCAGGGTTGGATATGAATGATGGCAAACGGATGCCCTAAGAGAGAAGAAATGCATCTCTCTGGAGCAGGACCATATCCTAGCCTCAGTTTCCTCATCTGAACACTGGAGGCAGCAGCACAGCCTGCTCACAGGATGCACTTGAGGAAGCGCTTAGTACAGTGCCTGGTTCGGGTGACTGGCATGATGGTTCGTGTGACTGCTATTCCTCAAAACACCTGCGGGACAAGCTTACCTGGAATGGACCTCCCACAACTTTTGGTTCATGCGGTAATCCCACACAGACACCAGGCCCTCCTCGCCTCCGCTGACAACCTTCCAGTCATCCATCTGGACTGCAGAGACCCCACGCTGGTGTGCCGAGAGTGACAGGGCAATTTTATCAGTGCGGAGGTCATGGATCCTCACCCTGGAAGGGCCAAAAGAGCACAGAGAAGGGAAAGGGGATTAGTTTAAAGCTTCCCCCTCAGTTGTGCTGATCTGGGTACAATGTTCCTACATAAATCTACTTCAACTGCACACACCTACAATACTGAAATAGACTACTCTCTCCCCACTGCTGTAGTTCAGAGTACCCACGACCACTTCATCACAATGATTTAAAAGCACATAGAACAGGAGTGACCCAGAGCAATTGCTGCTCTGTCCATCTGATCTCCTCAACAGGGAGACACCTGCAATGAGTGCATATCCAGGTAGAGGGTAGGTGACATCCAACTGGCACAAGGATGCCTCATGGTGTTGGCCTGAGAAGCGTGTCCCAGTGGTAACTATTATACAGTGATTTTGCTGGTGGTATAAGATTCTGTTAAGGGAAAATTGGTAAATTGGTGCCACTTGTCTGCAACCCAAACCCTTCCCTGGCCAGGAAACATTTCCCTGATCTGTGACCATCTTGACACTTAGGAAGTACTTTTATACTCGAGCCCAGCAGAACTGTGACAAGTGTGTGGATGCTTGGTAGTCACTTATCTGGAGACTTGAAATAATTACTTGCCTAGTAAGAATTTGGATTTAAGAACCTCCTTAAAAAACTCATTTTTTACAAATACATGCTAGCTTTTCACATGGATGAGTTAGAATGAGTCAGAAATCTCTTGTCTACTGCAAATACCATCATACTTAGTGCCAATAGCTAAAATTGAATGTGTCAAAATGTAAGCAAATTAATGAACAAGAATGAAGTGAATTTCACAGACCCTCTGACACAAATCAGAAAGGAAAAAAACAATTGCTACCCTGAAAAGACCCTGTCCTCGTGTGAAACGTGGTCAAAATATGTCTGACACAAAAGCATGGTGACACAGGATCACTGTAAACACAGTCCAAGGATCACTGCAAACACAGTCCACGCCCGGGGCTCTGTTCCCATAAGCAGCAACCCCCCCACACACTTATTTGCAGAGTTCAGTGGTGGAGGGGACTGTTTTGAACTAAAAATTCTAAGTTTAGTTTCCTGCAAAGTTTCAAGGCATGACGATTCGATTTTTAATTTTTAACAGGAAAGGACAAAAGTGAACTCCCTAAGGAGAACCTATGAAAGAAAATACAGCAAAGCATCAAAGGGACGGCGAGATGCCCACACAGCTGCAGCGAGCAGGAGGGCGGACGACCCCTCAGCCAGGGCCTGGCAGCCAGAGCAGCCAGCATGTCCRATGGGGCCACAGGCGCATCTCCCTTTCAGAAGTGAGACTCGTCACAGGTGGCCTGTGAGCATGTGTGCAGGTGACAAAGCTGGCAGGCTGCACTTCAATACCAGAAAAGGCAGGTTTCAGGGCAAGGTGTACTAAGGTGTGGTAAAGCTCAACTGGGGGAACCCAAAGCTGCACAAACCTAATTTCTTTCTTACAGATGGGACCGGTTTGTAATTCATTTTCCTTGGTCATTATAATCTGGTTAGGTTTTCTACTTTTTTGACTTAATTTTCTTAAATCTCCAGATTTCTAAGGGGAAAAAAAATCACCCAAACTGACCCCCAGCCTGGAAAAGGAAGGGAAGCTCCACACTCCTGGGAAAGCAGGGACGTGGGCGTGGCCACACCGTACCTCACTCTCCGTGGAGGGGCCTCATCCTGGACACCCACTAGCACACTTGCTGCAGCACCGTCAAAAGAAAAACCACACGGTCATTTCCCTGGGTGCCGGAAAGAAGCCTGACCTCTAACACCCATTCCTAGCAGGAAAGAGAGTGTAAGGCAAAAGTAGATAATGATAGAACATGTAAGGTACAATATTGGAACAAATCGGGCAAATTTATAAATAGAGATGATAGTCCCAGAGAATTCAGTAATAATTCAAATATGCCAAAATCAATGGCTGTATTATGTATAAATAACCACTACTTTTAAAAATGTGATCAAAAAAGATCCCACTTTTCTAAAAGCAGTTAAAGGCAAAAATACTCTACTGTCTCAACTTGGGGCTGGAGGACATAAGTTACACCAAAATAAATTACAGAGGACTTAACAAGTTAGGCACAATTACACTGAAACTATTTGGAATAGGGATGACTATTCTAAACATCATAAAACCCAGAAGCCAGAAAAAGATTTATAACTATACATAAAAGTATTTTAAYTTTTTCCCATACTGGAGGGGGAGACTGATAAACTGAGGAAAATATGTATAACAGAGGGCCACCCTCCTTCAAATTAATAGTAAAAACTGATAACCCAATATTAAAATGAAGGCAAGGATATGAAAAGCTTCAAAGAAAAAAATTCAAGTTTACTGTAAACGAAAAACTATCGTGCACAACCACTTGTCCCCTAAGATCCTCTGAGTAAGGCTGGGGCTTGGGAATGCTCCCAACACAAACACAGACTACCCAAACCCTACGCAAACACCACCCAGCCAAACAGCAGACACATGTAGAGTACATCTACACGGGCCATTAGCCACAGCACTGTGTTTAGTTGCAAAAATGGGGTCTCCATTTCAGACAACTTGTGGACCCTTCCACTGCAAATCACTTAATAATGGGGGCTTAAAACAGTGCTGAGCTCACCCACACAGTAGCTTCCCTGGGCCATGCTGACACCTAGATGGGGGGTACCTGGAGCTGCCTATGGGAGGGGGTGAGGCACTGGTGTGGTGCATGTCAAGACCGATGGGCCAGAGTCACCACAGAAAGCAGGACTCTTTTTTTTTAATTGGTTGTTCAAAACATTACAAAGCTCTTGACATATCATATTTCATACATTTGATTCAAGTGGGTTATGAACTCCCATTTTTACCCCGTATACAGATTGCAGAATCACATCGGTTACACATCCACGTTTTTA